GGTTTAAATTGATGACTGACTTCTACCTGCATTGAGTTTAAAATTGACTTCGAAATTTATCATTATTTATGTTAAATCCTAAATTTAATAACTCGTTAATTTAACCAGCTGCAGTAAAATTAAATGCTCAATTCTAATTTTTTGTGTTAAAATTAATTCCTAAATAGATTAAAAAGATTTCGAGTATAAGGTATGTTGTTGCAACTTAAATTACTTTCTATGATTGATATTATGATAATTTCTGATAGTTAAGATTTTTTTTCTTAACGGCCGCATTTTACATAATGACATCAATTATATGGATATTGCCCACTTTCCCGGCTGTTTATGTAATATCGAAACGGGAAATGGATTATTGTATGTTGTCTAGGCATCGTCCATAACTGTACTTCCTCCGGGGTACTGTGTTGAAAAATAAACGCCCACGCAAACTCGTCTACAATTGGAAATAAACGGTACACAGAATTACAATCTATTAAATAGTTAAAAAAACTGAAATAACAGACAGCCTGTATACAGAGTGCCGACGACTTCCTCTCGTAACGTGCCCACGACCTCGCACTATTGGGTGCGATTTTGTCGGCGATTAAAGATTATATCATCCCGGCAAAATTATGGAGGGTGCAGGGCAAATTCAATGCACTCGTAAACTGTTGATTTTAGAAAGGCGCGGAGTGGCAAAATGAGCACACGATCAGTATATGTTAGAGTATATGTTTTGACTTTTTGTAATGTATGAACCAAATGTCGAGTTCACCCCCATACGTAAATACCCAGCTACATAACGAAAAATAAAAGTCAAGAAAAATACAAGCACAAAGTTAAAACAATCCCTGTTCTATGGACGAGAACTTCTCCCCACAGTGTACATGAGTTCTTCCAAATATATACAGACATCACCAAGAAAACCAAATTGGGGCAGCTTTTATCTTCTACAAGTAAGATGACATTGCAATCAATATAAGGACTAAAATGGCGGATTGATGTAGCAATAATCAAGCCAAGCTTTTTCTCACCCTAAAATTGTTGATCAGGAACAAGGCATAATTGAAGGATGCCAAAACAGCTAGTAATATGACAGACAGCCAGGTGGTTTTGGATGTATTGGGGGGGGGGTCCATCTGGCAGGAGTCCCCAATCTTATCTGATCAACAGGAGAGCCTGAAGCTCTTGAGGGACAAGGCTTGGAGGTAACATTTTGATGCATCAAGCCCATGTCAGGAATGAGGCAGTTGATCTGGAGGCAACAGGAGCGGCCACAGACAAAGAATGAGCTGTGGAATGAAAATAATTAACACAGAGAATGTTGGTTCAGTTATTGTAAAGGATGGTTCTTCTGCTGCTAAAAATAGTTTGTGAGTAAAACTATTCTTTAAAAAAGTGAAGACTGTGGGGTTCTGGCGACCATCGAGCTATGTGCCGTACTCAACATTGATAAAAACTCTAGCTGAATGGAATGTATCATGGATCACTTCAGAGCAAAGATCCTATACAAAGCTTCAATAAACAAAGCCCAACTTCATTCATTCTTTCTTTTTATTCAAAAAGAAAAAAAGAAAAAAAATTGAGTGAACAAGGAACGCAAAATCTTACCTGCACCAATTCAACGAAATCATTAGTCCCAAATGTGGACGAGAATCAAGATCAGAATAAATCTGGGAACATTATCTGTAAAGCCCCAAGACTTGGATTATCCCCCCCCAATGGTAATCTTAAAGAACTAATCAAAATTATGCCCGACTCCATCCAGTCCTGTAACTATCACCTATACGCCGATGACTCCCAAATATACATATCCTTCCACCCTTCTGATCTTCACTCGGCCACTCTCAAGACCCAAAAAGACCTAAACTCCATCAACGAATGGGCCCATAAAAATTCCCTAGTCCTCAATCCGGCCAAATCCACCGCCATAATTATCGGGTCCAGGCAACTCCTTAATTCCCTCCCCAGCATCCCACCTCTCATGCTAAATAACCATCCCATCCCCTTCTGCTCTTCGGTTAAAAACCTAGTAGTTTTTGACCAAAACCGTTCCTGGCATTCCCACATTTCCCAAATTTCCCGCCATTCCATTGCCTCCCTCAGCCTGTTTCGTTGGTCCTGGCTTCTCTTACCTTTCTCCACCCGCAAACTCCTTGTATCTTCCCTTATACTTCCCTTCTTTGATTCTCAGGAAGATTGAAACTATATATTTTTTCACTTTATCGACTAATCCTTATTCAGCATTGAAACACTTGAAATAAATTACAGTAACATAAAGCTTAACAAAACTGTACATCGCTCAAAGAGGAATTGATTCTGATCTTGTTTTAAATTGAAAATTTAGGTCAAACTCTCTACCACCCTCTTTATTAACTACATATTGAAAAAGTTGGACACTTTAACAGGTCATAAATCTCAGTTTAATGGAACAAAAAACAAAATATTAGCAAATATATTTTTTCAGATGTCCTGACACATTTTACAACTAGAACTACTGGAAAGATGTAATGTCAAAGATGTATGTTCATGTCTCTCTTTTGACTCCATTGATCTTAAGAAAAATTAAAACACTTGAAATAAAAATAATGAATTGTGGATTTAACTATAATATAGTAACATAAAGCAGAATGAAAATGTGCAAAGATAGATAAAATAGTCAAGGATTGAACTGAACATTGCTTTAAATTGAAAAAGTGGATAAACATGGAGTTGCTCTGTCACCTACTCTATTTAACAGAATGTCAAAACATTCAGACGGTTTAAGTGGTTAGAAATTGTAGCTTAGTGGAAGGAAAAAAAACTTTAGATCTCACTTTTTACCCACTAGAACCATTGTGAAGATTCATCTTAAAAGCTGCATATTTTTGACTCTTTAAATTCTCTTGGCTTTGTTAAAAAATTAAACGGATGGAATAAAATATAACGTAAACAAAACTGTGCTCTGGCAACCTTAATTGTCAGGGATTTAACAGGGCTTTGCTTTAAATTGAATTGAAGAATCAAACAGGGACCCGCTCTACAACCAACTCTTTTTAACAGCATATTGTCAAATTGGGACAGTTGCACCGCCCATAAATTTCATTTTAGTGGTAGAAAAAAGTTTAAACTTTAGAACTATTAAGAAAATGTAGCTTAAAAGTTTATAATTCATTTTATTCAGAAGACCTACCTTTACAAGGGCGTCGGTGGTCGCAACGATTTACGCATTGACATGGCACTCATCACTGTAAGGTAAAGGTCCCGAGTTCGAATCCAGTGGCCCTACATTCAAACCCGACATACTTACAAATGGGCTTTTTTTTCCAAAAACATTGGCACTCTGAGGGTTTATATGATCTCTGCTGTTGTGAACCCTCGTAAAAAAAAAAAAAAGTAATAATAATAAAATAAAAAAATAGATATATATATAAAAAAACCTACCTTTACCTAAATGAAAATACCTGAAATAAAAGATATCAACATAACTGTGTACTAACAGCTAGAGTAATCTATGATTGAACAGGATATTCCTGTTAGTGGGTAAAAAATCATAAAAAAATAAAATAAAAATACAAAATTCTGAAAAATTAACTGGTCGTAAATCTTAGTTTTACCAAAATTAAAAGATTAACACATATCATATTTGATCTTTATACATATTAAAATTATTACAGAGATTTAACTTAAATGTTTTGCACTTATATTTGATCCTATTTTAATTTACTCAACTGAATTCTTTTTACTGGAAAAGAAAAGCAAACAAGGAGACGTTCTAAACTATTTTAAACAGGAAATAAAAAATTCAAACGATTTAACTTGTCATAAATTTTAGTTTAGTAATAAAAATATATGTCACATGAGACTTTTTAAATAAAAGCAACAAAAAGAAATGGCACACTGACCGCTAGGAAAATCAGCGTTTGATTGCTTTAAATAATAATCGAATAAAAAGGAGGAAACTTTTCAGCTATGATTAACAATAATACTTAGTAAATTTGATATTTTGTTAATTTATTAATTATTTTTCTTTTTACAGGATGGGGCAGAAAACAATATTGGTGCTCGTCTTGTTCGCATCCTACTCGTCTGGAGGTGAGTCCAGTTTGCTTTCTGCTTTAACATAACAAGTCAGTTGTGCTGAGTAAAACCGATATAATTAATGTCTGAGTTTGCCGCAGGTCAATCGATTGATCTGATGATTATTAAAAGTAAGTAAAATAATTCCTGTCATACAGGAGGGCTTAATGTCCAACTACCCGTTGTGTGTTGCAGATGAGGGGGTCTTTCTTACTTTACCACTTTACAATTCATTTTTCACACGATTAAAAGGCTATGGCTCTGCTGGGATTTGACCCAGAACCGCTAGGAAGGCAAATATGAATGGGACACTAACCATTTTTGGCCACCAAAGTCCCCTGATAATTATTATCAGTTGTTTAATTTATTCTTTTATCCAGTTTTTTAGTATTGGCCATTAGGAATTATTTTTATATTGTTTTCAGAGAGCATAATTTTACAGTATATAAGTTTATAATTTATCACCATAAATGTACAATTAAGCTGGTGATTTAGGTTTTGTTTGATCATCGCTGATTGATTATACATATGACTCCTTAGATTTTTCGTAAAATAGTTTTTACTCAAGTGTGATTAAACTGTAGGTAAATTTTGCTGAACAACGTTGAAATAACATTGNATTTTTTCTTCTGTCCTGCCTTATTGGTATACATTGTGCCAAGATTTCTATATTTTTTTTACTTTTAACTTCTAGAAGGAACTTCCTTTATTTATTTCATGTAAATTATTCTTAGGGGACACCACTCCCAGAATAAAGTTATTTTTCTTCTTCTTCTTAAAAATTATGAACAAATACCATTTGTATTTTCCAAATTTAACCAAATTGTATGCCATTATTTCATACCACAGACAATTATAAACATATTTCAGCACAAAGTGACGTTAAAAATTCAGACTGAAAGAAATTAGGATTAAATAGGATAAGGTCAAAAATACATTTGGGAGCAAGTTAAAAAATCTTGATTTAATATTACTTTAATATTAAACATTTAAATACCGCAGAAAACAAGGCGCTTGTAATACATCTGTATAAACTTTGTCCAACTTAAAAAATACTTAGCTCTTAAAACAGGTCATAGGCAATCATATGTTCGTAAAATTAAATAGAAACATTTCTAAAACATGTTAAATAATACAAAATAAAAATGATAAAAATAATTTTCAACTAGAATATCACAGTCCTAACATATACAAAAATATATATAACAAAGAACAATATCCTTGGGAGACCAAGTTGTTTCATGTATACAACTCTTAATAACACAAAAGTATTATTAGACATGACTGTCCAATCTTTTCTTATTTTTATATACATTTTGGACAAAAAAATTCTAAACCGTAGACTAATTACATTAATCACTAGCAAATAAATAAGTTAACATTGGAAAAAATTTTAAACTTAATAACTTAAAATATCATTTCAATTTAAACCGAGATTTTTCTTTACGAAATTCTTCACGAGTAAAAGGTCCCGATCGTCAAACATTTCGGTGTTTTGTAGGTGGGGTTCTGTGACACGGACCATCCTTTCGTTATCTTGGGACGCAGTCGAGTCTTGAAAATTGCGGAACGAGCCACGTACAGTGCTTAACCCGTCTTTGGTACTATATTCAGTCGAGTGTGGAATTTTTGTGGAGTTTTCCACGTTTAAATCTGTTGAATAAAATCCATCGGTTGTTTCATTTGTCGCATTGTCTGAAGTTCTCTGAAGTATTTCTTCCGTTGAATATTCTGTCGATGTTTCTGTGCTTTCAGAGCTTTCAGTTGGAACGGAAGAATTTACATCTGTTGAATTTGTCACATCGGTCGAGTTCAAATCATCAAAAGACTCAATGTTTTGAGTCGACCAATTGTTTGATGAAATTTCTTCTACAACTTCTAAAGCAAAACGTTCTTGATCACTTAGATTTTCGACAGGATTTTGTGTCGAATATTCCACATCGGATGATGTAGAAGTCGAGTAATCGGAATCATCCATGGGGCTGGTAGTTTTAACGCTGTCATCAACAGAGGCAGGCTTGATCTTTTCGTGAATCATAATTTCAGCTATTGTCCTCAGGTCATCTGGAGTGAGAGAAGTTTGCTGTGATGAACTGAAGTAAGGAGATTCTGAAAACTGCTTCACTACAGCCACTTCTGAAATCTCTTCTGGATTCGACGGACTGTAAATGTGTATTATGGGAGTTGTATTACTCCTAGTCGTTTCATCCAATTTGATTAAAGTGTCGCTGAAACTGTTAGTAGGCAGATTAAGCATACTGTTTTTAAATGATGGCTCATCAATTTGTGCTGAATTTAACTCAGTGAATGAAATTTCTGTTTCTCTTTCAGTTGTGCTCGTACTTTGATCAGTATAAGCTTCAAAGTTTTCAGTTTCAGGCGTCGATTCGAAACTTTCTACAGTACCAAACACACCACCTGTTAATATATCGAAACCTTTACTTTCAGTCACCTCGACTTCTTGCTCAGTAGTTGCATCCGTATAGTTGTAATCTTCAGGAAGAATCGTAGTGACATACTCTGAATTTGGATTCAGAGTAAAGTCTGTTTCGTTTGAAGTATTTTCCTCTGTTGTGGTTTCATTCATGCTTTCAGTCGTCTGCGGCATAGAGAGGACTTCAACATCAGTTTTTTTTACCAAGTCTTCGCCATTGGTGATTATCCTCGGGCCTGAGCTGGGCTCAACGACCTGTGATGGGGCAAGCGTAGGAAGTATTTCAACAATTTTGATACTCTGCGGGTATTTTGCTGGAGTATGAGACTCTTCGTGCAAGTTAGGAGTCAGCGTGACCAATTCAATACCTTTTGTCATAAGCCATGGCTGCATTTCCCTTTTTGATGTCTGGACTGAATTGTTAGAAGTCCTAGAGCCTGATTCTGAAACATCCAAAAAGTAACAAGAAAATTATGGCTAAGAACATTAACTTTATTCAAATATTTAGTTTATAATATTTAAGTTATTATATTTAACTTTAATCCTCTTCATGAAACAATGAACAAAAAGCACATATCATTGTTACATTTCAACATAAGAGATTGAATATTTTAATATATCTTACCTACTGGGGGGCAATGGTCGTATTTGGGACAGCACCTGCCAGGGATGAGCACCGGAGGGCAGTCATCCCGGTGATAACATGTGATAGATGTGCACATGATCTCACCACCACGACAGTAGCATACGTAGCATGGGTCCTTGACGTTCTCAAGCCTTTCGCCATTGTTGTATGTCTTGCCGTCAAGCTCGCATTCTACAAAATGGATAAATGAGATCGTTTAAGACAGTGAAATTATATTAGGTTAATAAAACCATTCTGTACCACATTTGTACTCCGGACAACACCTGTTGGGCTTTTGGATTATTTTGCAACCGTTATTCGGCTGGCATTTCACCATCGAGCATACAACATTGGGAGGATCGCAGTGACAAGTCTCACATGGTGTCAACTCCGGTATTTGCTCACCTCGCTCATATGTCACATTTTTGACAGTACAACCTGAAAAATAAATTAAGTAAATAAATTTACTCATTCATTTATCTGCATTTTCATGTATAATGTAACAAAATAATATTTTATCTTATCCTGTTTCTGTTTCATTGTAAAAAATGCCTTTAGGCAAAAAGTAATTTGGTGAATTTAACTTAAAATTGTGTATTGATATTTTTTAATGACTAACTGTGTTATTTTTTAATTATTCAGAAATCGTGAGATGCGGTCTGGTGTGATGTAGGTTTCAAAAAAACATTATAAACATAAAGCAGCAAAATCTCACTGGCACTCCCAACACGACACGCAAGAATGGCACAATTACACAGAAGACAAACACTTTGAGTGAGTAGAAAAACTTTGATTGAATATAAAAAATATATTTTGCATTGTATAAATTCACTTTTCCACATCCTAGATGTATTTCTTAAATGTAAACAATGTTTGTAAATCCCAGGTCCTGAAGATGATCTCAATAAAGATCGAAACGTTGGCACGATAAAGAAAATGTTTTTCTGAATCCTACATCACATCAGACCACATCTCTCGATTTCTGAATAATTATCGATTAACGGTCACTAATCACCACATATTTTTTTAATTATTAACCAAACTATTTAATAATTCAACTAACCTTCATGTGATTCTCCAAACGTGGTAACCTCTTGTGGGACTGGACCTGAAAGGAAAATTATCAAAATCAAAATTATTACAAACTTTTTATCTGCAAAACTTAAACCAAAGATCAAAAACCAAAACAATTCAAGCATAATAATTATTTTATTACACAAATAACCTATTCTAACCTAAAATTCTAACCATGTCAGCGTTGAAAACAAGTTTCCACGAATAACTTTTTTCATGACTACTGTTAGACTAAATTGTGAACTACCCAAACTATGGGCAATCATAAATTCCAAATGTTTATTTAATTTATTTTTCAGCATTGTATTTTGCTGCTTCATTAAAAACATAAGCATGTCCCGGGACAAAAGCGGCTGGAATGCATTGTTCTAGGCATTCCCTTGCTCTTCTGAAATCGCTCATCAGCAGTAAAACTTCAAGGAAAGATAAGCTATGCTGACAAGTTTTCAAATAAACAGGATAAAGATCAAAAAGTAAAAAAAAAGTGAAATCTTATCAACATAACAATGTTATTTCAACGTTGTTCAGCAAAATTTACCTACAGTTTAATCACACTTGAGTAAAAACTATTTTACGAAAAATCTAAGGAGTCATATGTATAATCAATCAGCGATGATCAAACAAAACCTAAATCACCAGCTTAATTGTACATTTATGGTGATAAATTATAAACTTATATACTGTAAAATTATGCTCTCTGAAAACAATATAAAAATAATTCCTAATGGCCAATACTAAAAAACTGGATAAAAGAATAAATTAAACAACTGATAATAATTATCAGGGGACTTTGGTGGCCAAAAATGGTTAGTGTCCCATTCATATTTGCCTTCCTAGCGGTTCTGGGTCAAATCCCAGCAGAGCCATAGCCTTTTAATAGATAATCGTGTGAAAAATGAATTGTAAAGTGGTAAAGTAAGAAAGACCCCCTCATCTGCAACACACAACGGGTAGTTGGACATTAAGCCCTCCTGTATGACAGGAATTATTTTACTTACTTTTAATAATCATCAGATCAATCGATTGACCTGCGGCAAACTCAGACATTAATTATATTGGTTTTACTCAGCACAACTGATTTGTTATGTTAAAGCAGAAAGCAAACTGGACTCACCTCCAGACGAGTAGGATGCGAACAAGACTAGCACCAATATTGTTTTCTGCCCCATCCTGTAAAAAGAAAATTAATTAATAAATTAACAAAATATTAAATTTACTAAGTATTATTGTTAATCACAGCTGAAAAGTTTCCTCCTTTTTATTCGATTATTATTTAAAGCAATCAAACGCTGATTTTCCTAGCGGTCAGTGTGCCATTTCTTTTTGTTGCTTTTATTTAAAAAGTCTCATGTGACATATATTTTTATTACTAAACTAAAATTTATGACAAGTTAAATCGTTTGAATTTTTTATTTCCTGTTTAAAATAGTTTAGAACGTCTCCTTGTTTGTTTTTCTTTTCCAGTAAAAAGAATTCAGTTGAGTAAATTAAAATAGGATCAAATATAAGTGCAAAACATTTAAGTTAAATCTCTGTAATAATTTTAATATGTATAAAGATCAAATATTATATGTGTTAATCTTTTACTTTTGGTAAAACTAAGATTTACGACCAGTTAATTTTTCAAGAATTTTGTATTTTTATTTTATTTTTTTATGATTTTTTACCCACTAACAGGAATATCCTGTTCAGTCATAGATTACTCTAGCTGATAGTGCACAGTTATGTTGATATCTTTTATTTCAGGTGCTTTCATTTAGGTAAAGATAGGTTTTTTATTATTTATTTATTTTTTTTTTTTACGAGGGTTCGCAACAGGAGAGATCATATAAACCCTCAAAGTGCCAATGTTTTTGGAAAAAAAACCCATTTGTAAGTATGTCGGGTTTAAATGTAGGGCCACTGGATTCGAACCTGGGACCTTTACCTTACAGTGATGAGTGCCGTGTCAATGCGGAAATCGTTGCGGCCACCGACACCTTCGTAAAGGTAGGTCTTCTGAATAAAATGAATTATAAACTTTTAAGCTACATTTTCTTAATAGTTCTAGAGTTTAAACTTTTTCCTACCACTAAAATGAAATTTATGAGCGGTGCAACTGTCCCAATTTGACAATATGCTGTTAAAAAGAGTTTGTAGAGGTTAAAACAAGAGGTTGTAGAGCGGGTCCCTGTTTGATTCTTCAATTCAATTTAAAGCAAAGCCCTGTTAAATCCCTGACAATTAAGGCTGCCAGAGCACAGTTTTGTTTACGTTATATTTTATTTCATCTGTTTAATTTTTTAATAAAGCCAAGAGAATTTAAAGTGTCAAAAATATGCAACTTTTAAGTTGAATCTTCACAATGGTTCTAGTGGGTAAAAAGTGAGATCTAAAGTTTTTTTTCCCTTCCACTAAGCTACAATTTCTAACCAGTTAAACCATCTGAATGTTTTGACATTCTGTTAAACAGAGTAGGTGATAGAGCAACTCCATGTTTATCCACTTTTTCAATTTAAAGCAATGTTCAGTTCAATCCTTGACTATTTTATCCATCTTTGCACATTTTCATTCTGCTTTATGTTACTATATTATAGTTAAATCCACAATTCATTATTTTTATTTCAAGTGTTTTAATTTTTCGTAAGATCAATGGAGTCAAAAGAGAGACATGAACATACATCTTTGACATTACATCTTTCCAGTAGTTCTAGTGTGTAAAATGTGTCAGGACATCTGAAAAATATATTTGCTAATATTTTGTTTTTTGTTCCATTAAACTGAGATTTGTGACCTGTTAAAGTGTCCAACTTTTTCAATATGTAGTTAATAAAGAGGGTGGTAGAGAGTTTGACCTAAATTTTCAATTTAAAACAAGATCAGAATCAATTCCTCTTTTATTTGTGTACAGTTTTGTTAAGCTTTATGTTACTGTAATTTATTTCAAGTGTTTCAATGCTGAATAAGGATAAAGTGGAAAAATATATAGTTTCAATCTTCCTGAGAATTCTGATGTGTAAAAAATCTCATCTTGTGTTGATATTTTGGCTTTTTCTACTCTAAAATTGAAATTTACCCCCAAATTTTAATTTAAAATAAGGTCCGGTTCAATCCCTTAAATCAACTATTTTAGATATATGTGCACAGTTTCTTTATGTTTGATATTACTGTATTTTAATTGTTTCAATTTTTAATAAAGTGAAAAAAAAATATCCAGCTTTTAAGTTGAATCTTCCCAATAGTTCTAGTGTGTACCCCGCTTCCTAGAATCTTTTTCTACCATACCATCTATGTGTAAAAAATATTATTCTGTGTTGATTTTATGTATTGCTACCATTAAACTGAGTTTTATGACTAGTTAAACTCTCTGAATGTTACAATTTCCTGTCAAATAGAGTGGGGTATTGAACAACTCCCTGTTTTACACTCCTTTGAATTTAAGACAAGGTCCTTGATTCAATCTCTGTCTATTTCTGCTCAATTTGCACAGTTTCTATATGCTTTATGTTGTTATATTTTATTTCAAGTGTTTCAGTCTTTAAATAGGAACAACAGATTCAAAAAGAGAGACATAAACGGACAACTTTTAAGTTGAATCTGGCAATTCATGTACAATCGTCACTTTATATCTGCAAGTGTTAATTATTTGCCTTTTCCACCACTAATTAAGATTTATGACGATTTTTACAGTCTGACTTTTACGATACACTGTTAAAAAGAATGGGTGATAGAACGTCTCCTTGCTTTACCATCGTATTTCATTTATGTCGACTACAATCCCTGACTATTTTAGCTTTCTTAGCATAGATTAGTCTTGTAATTTTGGACTTCTTTTACTTTTTTACTTGTGCTTCTTTTTTTAATTTTTTTATAGATAAGTTTAATTGAGATATATTTTGGGTTATTTCAGGCATATGTATGTATAATGTGCATTCTCAAAAATGTGTTCCATTTCATAATAAAATTACTAAAAATAATACATTTAATAAAAACAAATAATTTAATACAACGTGTAATTGTGATATTTCACCGTGGGGTCTACGGGTTGATTAACCTGTAGTTTCTTTGTTATTGATCATGTTTTGGTTTTCCTATCCTTGCTTGTCTGTCTGATATTTTCGAACATTTCACCAAGTTAAGTGGTAAGTCAGGGAATTAAGCAGGGTGAGGCAAGAGAACAGAAATACACAGAACTGAAGATTGTGAAATGCCGAAATACATCTAACAGACCAAACCTGATAGGCATTCAAAATGATCAATAACGACTAAACTGATGAATGCATACACACGCCAAAAACATAATTGATGCACTTGCTTTAAATTCGGTTAGTAATATCAACCAACAAACCGGCTAAAATACATTAAGAACAAACAAAGCAAGACAGTCACAAAAAGAATTCTTAAAGTTCAGCTTAACTTCGGTTGATCCAATTTTAATGAACGTTTGTGAAATTTAAATTCAATGTTAAATTTAAACAGTACTTAATCTTGGGAGAATTAATTAATCCTTGGGAGAAGACCGTTTCGCCGATTTGCAACGATTCGAATAATTTTATATTCCGTCGAATCTGGTCCGCTCGTTTTCGCTTCATCACGCGTCGTTAAAACGCGTAGTCGTTTCGCGTATTCTGTTTCAACAAATCCAATTTGATGTCTCGGAATCACTTTTGTACCGAACCGTTATTCCTGATTTCAACAAATTACAAGTTAGATAAGTTAAGCAGTTCATCCACTTTCACTACGCGCGGTGTGTGAATTTCCGTTACAAGATTTTTTTTAGTATTTTCATGTTAAAAAAAACCGTGTTCTCCATGTAATTCTGAAAGGGCGGAAGGAACAACTGTCTTCGTGACGATTCACCGCGATACGAACCCGGTGATTTTTTCGGGAAAGGATTCACAACACGGAGAAGAGTTGGACATTTACGTGAATTGACAGTTCAAGAATTGAATTCTCTACTGTTGAGAAAGAGTCAATTTAATAACAATAAAAAATAGAGAGAATTTAAGCAGAAAGTTCGAAAGATGTGGCGAAAGAAACGGAATGAGAGTTAAAATAAAATGCAGAGGGTGAGATGTAGAGAGGGAGAATGATAGAGTGAAAGAGAGATAGAGAAGGCGATGGAGTGTAAGGGAGAGGGGAGAGAGAGAGAGAGAGAGAGAGAGAGAGAGAGAGAGAGAGAGAGAGAGAGAAAGAAAGAGAGAGGGAGAGAGAGAGAGAGAGAGAGAGAGAGAGAGAGAGAGAGAGTGAGTGAGTGAGAAAGGTGGATAATAGAGAGTTTAGAGAGAGTGAGAGAGTAAGATAGAGAAATACAACAGACTCAGACAGATGATACAACAGGGTGAGACAGAAAATGAAAGAAACTGAGAAATATAGAGAGAAAGAGGGGAGGGAGGAAGAGAGAGAGATAGACTGAAAGACAGAGAGAGGGTGATGTAATGTGATATGTGGAAAAGAGAGAGGGAGTGAGAAAGAGGGGTGGGGGTGTGTGTGTGTGTGTGTGTGTGTGTGTGTGTGTGTGTGTGTGTGAGAGAGAGAGAGAGAGAGAGAGAGAGAGAAGGGGAGAGAGAGGAGGGAGGGAGAGAGAGAGAGAGAGAGAGAGAGAGAGTGAGAGAGAGAGAGCGAGAGAGAGAGTGAGAGAGAGATGGGAACGAGAGNGAGAGAGAGAGAGTGAGAGCGACCTTATATCAATCAAAAACCTTATATAAAAATAATAATTAATTAGGATAATATGGTCAATTATGACAACTAAACAAATTTGGATTAGTTTTATTTAACCAAGCTAAGTTACCTCTCGTGAACCTTTTTTCCACTTAACATGAGTTATGTTGTACATTATACATTACAGATACAATTTATGCACTCTTTTGGCCATTACCATTTATTTTATAAATGGAATACATGACAATACTTTTACACATTTTTTATTAGATATTTCGCGTTAAAGCTTTTTTGTTTATAAATTTATAAGAAAATATGCATTTATTTATGTAAAAAACAATGAATAACAAACAAAGGAAAGAAAAAGAAAAGATAAACGACAACAACACTATACACTAAACTATAAAAATCACTTTAAATGAATTAATTAATTAATCACTAATTTCCGTTATTACTATAGTCATTTAGAGAAAACAAAAACACATAATGTAATATTTCCATAATATTAATTAATTTATGTTTCCATGATT